CAGTGCTTTCTCTCCTCCGTGTCCCCAAAATGTGTCTCCACTGCTCCCCCAGCTTGGACACCCTTCCTCCACTCCCTCTGGTGCTCTCTTTGAGCTGGGCGCTCAGCCCTCAGGTAACAGCCTCACCCTTCCAGGAAGCCCTCCTGAAGCTGGGCCCACTGCCCCGGCTCCTCAACGACATCAGCACAGCTCTGAGGAACCCCAACATCCAAAGGCAGCCAAGTCGTCAGAGTGAGCGGCCCCGGCCCCAGCCTGTGGTGCTGCGGGGCCCATCAGCAGAGATGCAGGGCTACATGATGCGGGACCTCAACAGGTGAGTACCTGGGGCTCCCCGCACCTGTGCCCTAAGGGCCTCTACTTTTCTCTTCCGGATACGCTTCCCTGGGCCCCCGTGCATCTCTCTAGGGCTTGAGAGGAAGGAAAAAGAGGCAGGCTCTCAGAGAAAATGGTAAGGAGACAGGTAGAGTCAGCGGTTAGTCTGAGAGCCCATTAGGGCCAGAGAGAGCAAGAATCTCAGAGCCCCAGGAAGAGTGCGGAGGCTCCTCTGGCTCCAGCTTGCTGTGAGCCTGGGGTTCCTCTCAGTCCCTCTGCCTGTGTGCCTGTCCCAGAGCTGAGGTTCAGCCAGCTGTTCAGCCAGTAACAAAACGTTGAACCATCTCTGTACTAGTTGGTAAATAAGCACTGGCCCAGCCACCCACCAGAACTGAACAGGTCTCAGTCCTGATCTAGCAATGGAGAAGTAGCATACACACCCTAGCAGGACCTCCTAAGCCCGAACATCTGTTCCAATGCAGTGGCCTAAGCTGCTGCTTGTTCTGCTGACCGCCCCACTTGTTCCTCCAGCCTAGTCTCCCTCCACAGTGCCATCCCCATTCCACCATTCCCACCTCTCCTTCCATGCATCCACACCTTCCACCCACCTTCTTCTCTGTCTGTGCTTGCCCCTCTTCCCATCTCTCTCCAGCTCCATCGACCTTCAGTCCTTCATGGCTCGAGGCCTCAACAGGTGAGGGGCTCTCCCCTCCCCCGGCCCCCTCTCCTCTCCTGTCTGCTCCCCTTCCCCCTCCAGTGGCCTTCACTCTCCTCCTCTCCTCTTCTCCTCCATGCACCCTCATTTCCTCCATACTTGCCCAGACCCACCCCTCATCCCTCTTCTCGGTGCCTGCACCTCCCCTCCTCAAGGCCTTGCTCCCTTCCCAGAGGGGCCTTTCCTTCCTCCTTCCCACGTGTCACCTCCCGTGCTCCCTTCCAGCCCTCTCTAGAGCTGCTACCACCAGCTCTCCACCCTTCCCTGCGGGTCCCACTCCTCACCCCAAGGCCTGTGCCAGACCACAGCAGGCTCGATTGCCGGCAGCGTCGGCCTCACCTCCTGTTCCTCTGCCCCTTTCCCTTCCCGCAGCTCTATGGACATGGCTCGCCTCCCTTCCCCAACCAAGGAAAAGCCACCCCCACCACCCCCTGGTGGGGGTAAAGACCTGTTCTATGTGAGCCGTCCACCCCTGGCCCGTTCCTCGCCAGCATACTGCACAAGCAGCTCAGATATCACGGAGCCGGAGCAAAAGATGCTGAGCGTCAACAAGAGTGTCTCCATGCTGGATTTGCAGGGTGATGGGCCCGGTGGTCGCCTCAACAGCAGCAGTGTATCCAACCTGGCAGCTGTTGGGGACCTGCTGCACTCGAGCCAGGCTTCCCTGACCGCGGCCTTGGGGCTGCGGCCTGCGCCTGCTGGACGCCTCTCCCAGGGGAGTGGCTCGTCCATTACAGCGGCTGGCATGCGTCTCAGCCAGATGGGTGTCACCACGGACGGTGTCCCTGCCCAGCAACTGCGCATCCCTCTCTCCTTCCAGAACCCTCTCTTCCACATGGCTGCTGATGGGCCAGGCCCCCCAGGGGGTCACGGAGGGGGTGGTGGTCATGGTCCACCTTCCTCCCATCACCACCATCACCATCATCACCACCACCGAGGTGGAGAGCCCCCCGGGGACACCTTTGCCCCGTTCCATGGCTATAGCAAGAGCGAGGACCTCTCCTCAGGGGTCCCCAAGCCCCCCGCTGCTTCCATCCTTCACAGCCACAGCTACAGTGATGAGTTTGGACCCTCTGGCACTGACTTCACCCGTCGGCAGCTCTCACTCCAGGACAACCTGCAGCACATGCTGTCCCCTCCCCAGATTACCATTGGTCCCCAGAGGCCTGCCCCCTCAGGGCCCGGAGGTGGGAGCAGCGGTGGGGGCAGTGGTGGGGGTGGCGGAGGCCAACCGCCTCCATTGCAGAGGGGCAAGTCTCAGCAGTTGACAGTCAGCGCTGCCCAGAAACCCCGGCCATCCAGTGGGAATCTGTTGCAGTCACCGGAGCCAAGTTATGGCCCTGCCCGTCCACGGCAACAGAGCCTCAGCAAAGAGGGCAGCATTGGGGGCAGCGGGGGCAGCGGTGGCGGAGGGGGTGGAGGGCTCAAGCCCTCCATCACCAAGCAGGTACGTGAGGGTGGGAAGAAGGCCGAATGGGTGAGGAACAGGGAGGGTGGAAGGAAATGGCTTTGTGGAAGTGGGGGCAGAATAGAGTCTGGCATCTGAAATCATACTTTTCTCACATCCTCTCATTCATTAAAGAAATTGTATACAGAGTCCCTGCTAGGTGCCATGTCCTGTTCTAGGCACTGTGGGTTTGACACTGAGTGCCACACACACCCTGCCCTCATGAAGCTCACCTCTCCAGAGTGGAGACATGATACGTAATTAAATAGCATTCACAAGGAGATTGAGACTAGAGCAGGGGAATGAGATGGGAATGGTCATCTCCTTTAGCAGTGCTCTCTCCTAAATGCACCCTACCTTTTCCCACCTTTCCTCTCTCTTCACCTCCACCTTGCCCCATCCCAGCATTCTCAGGCACCATCCACACTGAACCCCACAATGCCAGCCTCTGAGCGGACAGTGGCCTGGGTCTCTAACATGCCTCACCTGTCAGCTGACATCGAGAGTGCCCACATCGAGCGAGAAGAGTACAAGCTCAAGGAGTACTCTAAGTCGATGGATGAGAGCCGGCTGGATAGGGTACGCTGGGCCCCTCATCTTCCCATTACCCACAGGGGCAACCTCTAGATGCTTCTCAGGGAAGGACCCAGGGGTCAAGTAGTTACAGTGGAAAGAAGAGACAAAGACCTGATCCCCTTTCTTAAGAAGTGTCCAGTCTATTAGGGGACACTGGGCACACAGTCTGTCGGAAAGCCAACTTCCAACTTTATTTTGTGGCTTATACACATCATAGACTACGGAGAAACGTTTTATGTTAAAGCTTATTTCCATGTTCTTCCCCAGGGAGAACAGAAGCCCTGATTCCTATGACTACTCAGGAAAGGGACAGCTACTCTGCCACCAGTGTGAGCTGATAAATTGGGTGGGGGGCCAGAGGGCTGCAGTTGTACTACAGACCATGTCCAGCTTACCCAGGCATTGTTCCACCAGCATAGGTGACAGAGGGTTGGTGTTGGAAAGTGGTATATGTTGGCCCATGTGTGGAAAGACCAGATCCTCAGCTGGTGGTGGCCTAGAGCAAAAGATAGCAAGAGCTCAGGGCACACACACATAACTCAGCAGTGCTCCTTGGAGAGGCTGTTGCTCCAAGGACTCTGAAGAAGAGGGTGGCTGTAGGATTAGGTTAATGTAAAGACTGTATGACTCCAACTCGGGGGAGCAGAGAGAGGTTTCTTGGGAGCTGTGGTTTTTGAGCAGAGGAAAATGTTGGGACTGTCTAGATGGACTTGGCATAGCAAGTCCCATGAGAGAATTAAGCCCTAATGCCCAAGGTAGCCACTTTTGGTAATAAATGACATCTCTCCTTTGCTTCCAGAGTGGGGTTGGTTCTGTATGTATCATCTTTGGAGAATGAGAAAATACTCTCAAGTCATTTTTTCTGTACTATGACTTGGATGAGATATTTTTGTTGAGGAAGGCTCTAGAACAGTACCATCCAGTAGAGTTTTCTGCAGTAATGAGAAACGTTCTATGATCTGCATCGTCCGTATGGCAGTCACCGGACTCATGTGGTTGATGCAGCTGAGGAAGGAAATTTTGTTTTATTTACATTTTAAATAGCCACACATGGCTAGTGTCTACTGTATTGGATAGCACCACAGCTCTAGACTCTAGAGCCAGTAGGGCAGATAAAATGACTCCTCTGTGCCCTTCGAGCCCCAGAATTCCAGAATCATTATCAACAGAGGCAGTCTTAGATTCTCAGCCTGGAGTTGTTTAAAGCCCAGACCTGGAACCCCACATAGCCTCTCCTTATCCAGTGTCTTTTCTTCCTGGGTCTCCCCACCCTCCACATGTGCTCTGGTTGGACTGAGGAGTCACCTTAAGCTTTCATTTCTAGGTAGGATCACTCAAGGTGAGTGGGAAGGGAGTCTATAGGTTTGTGTGTGGGTCCTTGTGTGTCCAGATTTACATGTGTGGGCAGGTATATACTGCTCAGGGCATGGGAGCATATGATCTTGGTCCATTTTAAAGGAGCCTTAGAAAAAAAAAAAAATAATAAAATAAAATAAAATAAATAAAGGAGCCTTAGGTAGCTCCATAGAAGGGTCTTCTCAAAAGCCACCATGTCTGATATAATCAGCAGGCAGGGAAAGGACTACAGAAGGCAGCTGGGTTATCTGTCCCTTACCATGCAGTGGCTGCTTGGTAGGCAAGAATGGAGATGGGGTGGTGGGTCAGGGTGAGGCGCCCCTCACAGTGCGGGGTCGTTTGCCCGGCGGGCAGGTGAAGGAGTATGAGGAGGAGATCCATTCACTGAAGGAGCGACTACACATGTCCAACCGGAAGCTAGAAGAGTATGAGCGGAGGCTGCTGTCCCAGGAGGAGCAGACCAGCAAAATCTTGATGCAGTATCAGGCCCGACTGGAGCAGAGCGAAAAGAGGCTAAGGCAGCAACAGGTGGAGAAGGATTCGCAGATCAAGAGCATCATTGGCAGGTGAGGGGCGGCCTGGGGAGGGGTCACAAGGGAGAGTCTGAGGCTGAGGAGAGCCAGCAAGTTCCCCCTCTAGCCTTCAGCCCCAAACTCAGGACACCATGAGGAAAGCCCACCACCTGCTCCCAGAGATTGCCACTCACCACCAATCACCAAATGGGGAGAAACTTCTCGCTCAGGGCATAAATGAACCCTGATCTCTCTCCCGATAGAGTAACTTCTGAAGTTCTTGGACTCCCCACTGGTTAGTCTCAATCCAGCCTGTGATGTTCTCCCCAAATCTAAGCAGAGACCTCTAGCCAGAGTAGCCCCTAGCCATTCCTGTCCTGGGTAGCCCCTCCCTCCAGCCCTGAAAAGATGTTCTCTTAGAAACTGAATGACTCTTCTGTTAGCATATGCACATTTTCAACTGCTCTGCCAAGCCCTGGCTTCCTAAGCAGGTATCTCCACAAGGCGGTCAGCTTATCCTGAGAAGTGGTGGGACTCCAGGCCGGACTCTAACTAGAGCCAGTCCCATTTTGATCCACTCTGAATGTAGTTTGGATTAAGATTAATTAGAAGAAAAAGGCTTGACTTGAAACTTACTTTGAAACCCTGTTGTAATTGACATCCTTGATGGGAAATCGCTTTGAGAATCTTCATCAAAGGCATGGAGGTGCTGGGAATGATGATTGTAGAGACCCCTCTTGGGCTTGGGGTATCCCAGGGGTGGCACTGGTGGTGTCCTAGGTTCAGTGAGATGGAATGGGAGATGTAGAAGTGAGGCCTTCAGCCACAGAGGGGCTGTGGGAGGGCACTGTCCTGAATGGGAGGGTGGAGGGCCAAGGGGGCATCTGGGTGATAGAGGTCTTTGAATCCCAGAAAGCTGTCCTTAGCAGGGAGATGTGAGGGTTCCTGAGAGGAAGGTTAGTATGGGGATTCTTTGGGTCATAACAATGGAAGGATTCTGAGGGCAGAGGAGAAGGACGCCTGAGGCTTTTCCAGAGAGCTGCAGGGGCTCCCCCAGGATCAGGACTTCCACTGGCAGGCTCCCAGCCCGTGCCCGCCACTAACCCCACTGAAGCCCGTCCCTTCAGGCTGATGCTGGTGGAGGAGGAGCTGCGCCGGGACCACCCCGCCATGCCTGAGCCGCTGCCTGAACCCAAGAAGAGGCTGCTCGACGCTCAGGTGGAAATTACAATGTCATTTATCTTCTCCGTGTCCCATCCCCATCCATCCCACTGTCCTTTGTGCACTCACTGCACCAGCCACCCAGCCCCATCGCCATCTGTCTCCCACTGTCCTCCATTTGTCCACTGGCTGCTCCTGGCAGCGCCCCCAGTGACCCCATCTTCATCCCATCGTCTGTGCCTTTGTCACTCCTAGCAGTGTTAGCCCCACCCCTGTGCCTTTCTACTCTGTCTTTCCCACTCCTGTCTGGGTCTTGGAGCATCCAGCAGAACCTCAGTCTCTTTGCCCCCAGATCCCACCCAGTTCCTGGCATCCCTGCCCCATCTGTGCCTGTTCCTGTTCACACAGGGAATTCAGCCTCCTCTGAGCTCTTCTTGGGCTAGAAGGGCTAGAGGCTGTAGTTTGCTAGAAGAGAGCACTGGGCAGTACAAGTTCTAGCTTCCCAGGTTCTAAAAGGCCCCCATTACCTCTTGGCTCCTCAATTTTCCTGTCTCCTGGATAGCTCCCGAATAGCTTCCTCCTCTGACTCTTCAGCTCTTGAAAGCCCCCTGACCCTCACCCTGTAAGCTTGCCTTCCCTCAGTATTTAACCCCAGTGAAGGCCTCTGGTCCTTAAACCTGTCCAGCTCTCCAGGGCCCTCTGTCCTCAGCCAGCTTTTAGAACTTCTATCCTGCACCCTTGCCCCTTGCTCTCCCCAATTCTACTTTCCCACCCATGCTCCTCCTTCCTCTGCTCTGACCGCCAGGCTTCCCCACCACTACTGCCAAGGCTCCTGACCCCATGACCCCACTCTCTCCCCCTGCAGCTCCTCATCAGGTAATTCTCCTGGTTCCTTTGACCACGGGCGGAGGACACAGGGGGAGGTGACTCCGGACCACTGCAGGTTGGTCGTGAAGCCCACTCCCCTCTGACTCTCTGGAGCCTTTCCCCACCCCACCCCTCACTGCTGCCCTCCACATACCCTACCCTCCTGACACCTCCTGCACAGACCCATCTCCCAAGCCACTGCCCAGAGAGAGCACTTCTTGCTGCTCCGGGAACTGTTCAGGGACACCTTGCCAACACCAAGCATTTTTACCTGGGACACGCCCAGCACATCCCCACATCTCTCTTTGACAAAACCCACCGCCCAGCCTCCTCTCAATCCTCTGCCTGTGCCTCTCCAGTGTATGTCTGTCACCCCCCATTTCACCAGAGCGTCCTTGGGAGTTTGGGACGTTGGGAGTGGGGCTTGTTAAGGGGTGGCAGTGATGACGGGTTGGGGGACCCTGGCTAAAGGGGCTATGCTGACTGCAGCAGGTAAGTGGGAGTTTCCTCTTCTTTCCCTAATCTCAGTTCTCCACCCCTCCTCCCACTCCTCACCTGTTTCTCTCTCTTCCTCCTCCCTTATATCGGTGAGATCGAAGGCATCTTTAGCTCTTATTGGGCCCCACCGGGTAGGAACTAAGAATGGGGAGCTAACTCAGGAAGACTTTGGGGGAGGGAGGCTGGAAAGAATGCTTTTCATGATGGCAGGACACTAGGCAGGGTGAGTGGAACAAGGAACAAAAAAAGGAGCCTCGGCAGATGTCAGGACGCAGACCAGCCCATGTGGCGTGGGAGTTGGAAGTGGGGTGAGCCGTCTTCCTAGATAAGATCATGGGCTCAGTAGCCATGTGGATTCCGAGGCAGAGATGCCAGGAACAGCATGTTAAATAAACTCTCTATTCTTCTCAGCGGAGCTCACTCCTCCTCTCCCGCCACCCAGTGGCCTTGCAGGATGCAGTCCTACCTACAAACCAGTAAATGGGAACCTGTCAGCCACTGACATCATTTCTGAGGGGCTTTCTTTCTGTGGGATTGATCTGCAGTGGGCAGTGGCTCCTCACACTGTAATTTTAACACTCTGCCTGCCCAGCCTCTTTGTCAAAGTAGTTAGTGATCTGTAAACAGATGCTAAAAGGCACCAGGGGACCTCACCATTTAAAGGACTCCTGCAGTGAATTCTTATGAATAATGGCACCCTAATTTATCTACGTTCTAAATTTGGGTCCATGGGGGAGTAGGGGGCATGCCTATGTTCTGTTGCCAGCAGACAAGCAGAGAGAAGGGAATCTGAGGTTTCCTTTCCCTGCTGTCCTGCCATACTCAGGATCCCCTACCATACATAATTTCCTCTCGCTGACTTGGGGAAAGTTTGTGAGATGCTCAGCAAGCTAAGAGGGCGGCTTTGCTTAAGGCTGGGGTTTCAGTGACCTGAGAGGTGGGCTCTTTGATTTGGAAGGGAGAGCTGATCTCGAGGCCTCTACTTAGAATATTTTTGTATACTACAGAGATATGGTTACACGTAATGGGCCTAAATGCCCCATGGCCCGGGAAATAATCTGGACACTTTCTAAATCACTTTTAAGCATTGGTCCCTCTGCAATGTAACCATTCGCTTAAAAGTTAATTTTGTGCCTGTATTTTAAAAAGGCAAGTGAGTGACCAGAAGTGTCATACAGGAGTACCACAGTGTGGTTCCTCTCCCAGCATAGGAACAGAAGCCAGATGTGAGGGCAGGAGGCAGGAGGCAGGAGCTGGTCCAGGGGTGGGAGTAGGGTCTGCTACCCCTCTCTCTCTAACTGGGATCCCAGGGAGAGGGATTGAAAGGAACATGGAGGTGGAAAGGAATGAAGCAGTTTTGCTTCCTGGGGACACAGGGATGGGGGCACGCTGTGCCTCTGCAGACACTCCTAGTCATTTCTGCCCAGAGAGAGGCAGCCCTCCCATATTTTTTACCATCCCCCATCACTTCCTCCAATCCCTTGCCTTCCCCCCTCCCCCCCACCACCCCAGTACAGTTAAACCTCTCTAACTTGGACTGGTATATTGGAGAAGATGACTGCTCTGAACAAATGACAAAACTGAATGGCAGTGTCTATTTAATGAAATGTATGTCTTCAAAATACATACAGTAAGTGGGACTCGATGAACGAGGCTTTTCCACTCGAGGTCCTCAGGGAGCATGCGTTAATGAATAGATAGATTCAAAAGCCTGTTAGCTGGTACCCTCCTACAGACACGTTTCTACTGTTAATTTGCTTAGCACACCCTTTCTTCAGAGCTAAAGGAAAACTCAAGCCCACTTTTTGTTCAGATTATGAAAAAAGTCCAAATCCGCAGGGGTTTGGATTAATGAGGTTTTGCTGTACTGCCTCCCCTTGTTCCCTCAACACAAAGTTCCTACCTTGGATTGGGGGTGGGCTGGGAGGGGGTTCCATCTAAGAAGAGGAGGGAGGCTGGGTAGGGGAAGATCCAAGGGGTTAGGTTGGGGTGAGGTAGGAACTTGTTTCATTTGAACTGGTTTCCTGGTATGACTCCCTGGGTTGAAGGCCTGTTAGGAGTCGGGGGTGAGATTCTCTTCTCCCTGATCCCAGAAGATGTAACTTCCTCTGCAGGTGAGAAACAAAATAGGAGGATGGGGTGAGGGGTTGTCCTGGGGGCAGGGAGGGGGACATGGTTTATGGAGTGGGTTGGCTACTGGGGGGGCACAGCTTGGGGAGCTGGCACCCAGGCTCCCGCGAAGCGTCTCAATAAGTCCGCGCTCTCCTCTTTGGTGTCTTGCAGGAGAGGCAGCTTCCCCCCTTGGGTCCAACAAACCCGCGTGTGACGCTGGCCCCACCTTGGAACGGCCTGGCCCCCCCAGCACCGCCCCCCCCACCCCGGCTGCAGATCACTGAGAACGGCGAGTTCCGAAACACCGCAGACCACTAGCCCACCCAGCATCACAGACCTCCTCCTCCCTCCCCATGCACCCTGCCCTGGAACAGCACCCACCACCAGGACTGGATGTTGCCAAGGGACAGCGGGATTGCCTCCCTGAATGCCTCCTTGCGGGGGCACCAATCCCCCACCCCCACTACACCATTTCCAGCGGGGAAGAGTGGGGACCCTTAGCTGCCCCTTTTCCTTCCTGTTGGAGTGCTGCCCCCTGTGACCCCCAGGGACCCTTGCCCCAGGACACCACCTACCCCACACAGACCCCTTCAGTCCGGGGTGCTATCCCCATCCTCTGCCTCATCGTTCCCCTGAGCACTGGGGGACAGACCCTCACCCCCACCCTGGGGGTGTGGCACCTCCAAACTTTCAACTTCAGGGTGATTTTTTAGCAGTAACCAGAGCTGACAATCTAACTCCCCTCCACCGCCCCATTTTGGCCTCCCCTGTCCCCCTTGTAATGGGGAGGGGACCCCAGGTGAGGGGGCCCTATTACCCCTTGATTTCTCAGGAGCGTCTGGGGGGGCTCAGCACGCACAAACTCCTTCTCTTCCTACTACTCTTAAATTTACTCCCTCCCCACCCAGAACCCAGATGGGGTGGAGGGGCCACCGGGGCAGGGAGGGGGCGGCAAGGGGGGAATGGGAGTTGTCTCCCCTTCCTCCCACACCTGATCTGCTCTTGGCTGGTCCCAGAGCGGGGTGAGGGGGCTTATGCCCCCCCCTCCCCCAGTGTGTTGGGTGGGGTGGAATTGAGGTTAGGGTGAGGGGTTAGGGTCTAGGAGGGTGTGTATGTTAGGAAGGACAGACTAGGTGATCTGCCCTACCCTGACACACACAGCCCTCCTTGCCCCTCCCCTCTCTCTTCTTGGTCTCTACTCCCAGGGGGAGGGGGGAACTTACTCTAGGAAAAGCCATGTCTCTCTCCCCCAGGGTGGGGGGACCTGTGTTGGAGGAGGGGTGTTGGGGGCCCCCTTCCATGACTCTGTCCCCCCGGGGGAGGTAGGACAGGGCTGGGCTTCCCTCTCATCCTCCCCCCTCCCCAATCTCCCTCCACCTCCCTCCCTCCCGCCAGCTCCACAATTTTTCGGTGTTTCTCTGTACATAGCTCTCTGGCGGGATAGGGGAGGTAGGATGGATGGGGTTTAGGGTGGGTAGGTCATGGGAGGGGAGAAGCCCCTCCTTGGCACCCCCTCTTCCCTGACTGCTATCCCCTACCCAGCCCTGCCCCCTCATCCTTTCTTGCATTTGGTTATTGAGACTCTTTCCAGACTTCACCCTTCTTTTCTTTTGTATGGACAGTTCCCCTTCAGACCCATCCCCCTACACACATACACCCAGCCGGGGCCAAATTTATACTTATATAAAAGTTGTAAATATGTGAAATTTTATCCCTGTGCCCTTTCCCTATTTTCCCAACCCCAGACCCTCCCCCTGGACCTCCTTTCCTCTTCTCTTTGGCTGTTGTAATTATCTGGGTTTGTACTGTACATATTGGGGGTGTGTGTGTGTGGGCTGGGGGCAACCCCTCTGTATAGAGCTTCCTGGCCCCCTCCCTCCCCCAGGCTTCCCTCCCCCTCCACCACCCTAAAGGTAGGAAGATGCTCTTCCTACTTGTTTTATTTTGTTTTCTCGTTCTCCCTCCCCACCTTGTCCCACCCCACTCCCAGCCTTCCCTGTCCTCCACCACTATCCCTTTTTCTCCACTCCCAGCCCCATTTCCTTTTTTTCTGGAGTGTGTGGTGAAACAGAAAAATCATGTTTAATAAACGGAGATTGTTCTTTTTTCGCTGTGCTGACTTTCCTAAGCTGGGACATTCAGACATATCACCCTATTCAGTAGGGTGATAGGATCTGCTTTTTGAGAGGAAGCTGGCAGCCTGGGAGAAACCATATCCCTGCATGATGCCACAGTCTCCTCCAGAGTAGCACTCTCCCACCCGGGCATAAGATGTATTCCGTTTCTGAGCAGGGGTTGTGACCTGGCTAAGCTTACCCAATCCAGCTCTCCCCTCTCCACTGCCCCACTTAACCCTAGTGAGTAGAGAGGCCAGGGAGCAGGAACACTATCTGACAAGGAATTCCAAGTATATATATCTACACACACTCACAACTATATTTAGTAATTACCTAGAAATAAGGTTGATCTAATGGCTGGTTAAAATGCTCCCGTACGGAATGGAGGAAAGAACTTGGTCCCTGAACAAATCTGAGTTGCAATCCCAGGCCCGTCGCTTGCCAGCCTCAGTTTCCTCCGAGGAAACCGAGCAGAGCAACACCTACCTTGTAGGGCTGGGGGAGGGTACAAGGTGATGTGGACAATGCCTGGCCCACACAATAGTTAGTCTCGCCTTCTCAGCACTTAGAAGGGAGCGGGCGCTACCTTTAATCATCCGCAGGGCTTAAGGGTCGCCCCCTCCTTCCAGGCTACGACCTCCCGAGGCCCAGCTCAGATTCCTCCGGGCGTCAGACACCTCCCGCCGGCACCGCCTTCTCGCCCGCGCAACCAATCAACGCGAGGCTCGTAGCCCTCCGCCCTCCGATTGGCTGGGGCTCTGGCACCGCCCCCCGCAGCTGGCGTTGGCGTCCGGCGGGAAGGCGGTGGCTTCCGGCCCGGGACTGAGCGGTGGCTTCCTAGGCGCCCCGGCCCGGTGCCGCCGGTGTACCCGCGGGGGCGTGGCGGCGGGGCGGGCCTCCTGGCCGGTGCGGCTCCCCGGGAGCCGGCCCTCTGGGCGCCGTGAGCAGGAGCCGTCCGGGGCCGGCGAGGTCGGGCCGGGGCTGGAAGGATCTCCTCGTCTTCCTCCGCAGGCCCTGGAAGTGAAACCCCGGTTGGTCTTTTGTTGTGGAGTTTAGTTTTTCTTTTCTCGGTGGGGGAGTGTGCGGGCCTGATCCGCGGAAACCACCACTCACTGGAAAGTTTCCACTTTGCCGGGTTGGGGAGGCGGGTGTTGTTGCCCTTACCCAGAGCTGCTGTGACCCCCGTGCCTTTCCTCCACAGCCTTCGTCCCGCGGGGGTGCGCCCCCAGCCCCTCATCTCCTGTGTTCCGCCCTCTGGGATTTCTCTCTCTCTGAGGAGGCCATATGGATCTCTCGACGCCTTTGCCCCCCGTACCCCGCTCCCCGACCCGCAACCCAGCCCCACGGACAATCCAGATCGAGTTCCCACAGCATAGCTCGGTGCTGCTGGAAGCCCTGAACCGCCACAGGCTAGAGGGAAAGTTCTGTGATGTGTCCCTGTTGGTGCAGGGCCGGGAACTTAGAGCTCACAAGGCAGTGTTGGCTGCTGCCTCTCCCTACTTCCACGACAGACTTCTGCTGGGGGATGCGCCACGTCTCACTCTACCCAGCGTCATCGAAGCCGATGCCTTCGAGGGGCTGCTCCAGCTCATTTATTCAGGGCGCCTCCGTCTGCCTCTGGATGCTCTCCCTGCCCACCTCCTTGTGGCCAGTGGCCTCCAGATGTGGCAGGTAGTAGATCAGTGCTCAGGGATTCTTAGAGAACTAGAAATCTCAGGTGGAATTTCAACCTGTGGGGCGACCTCTTACCACACTCTTCTTTCCACCACATCCTCTCCAGGAGGCTGGTGCATTCGCTCTTCCTCTTTCCAGGCCCCGGTGCAGTCTTCCTCCACCTCTAGGGAGAACTCTGTTTTAGGGGAGGGGAGTGAACTGGGAGATGTGTTACAGATTAAAGTTGAGGAAGAAGAGGAGGGGGACCAGGGGTCAGCAGCCCCTTCTCAGACACCTCAGCCTCAGAGGGTATCAGGAGGGTTTCCCTGCCCTCATGGATCCCACCCACTGCCTGTATCCACTACATCTTGTAGGGTTCCTTGCGAGAGTGCCCCACTTGAGCCTCCTGCCCTTCATACTGCACCACCCCCCAAAGTCTTCTACATTAAGCAGGAACCCTCTGAGCCTGAAGAAGAGATATCAGGGGGTGGAACTCAGTCTGGAGGAGCAAAGGAGGAGACCAAAGTGTTTTCTGGAGGGGACACCAAAGGGAATGGAGAACTAGGGTTCTTATTACCCTTAGGAGCAGGGGCAACATATGGAGGAGGAGGAGGTCCATCCTGGAAACCAGTTGATCTTCATGGGAATGAAATCTTGTCAGGGGGTGGGTGGCCTGGAGGGGGAGGACAGGCTGTGCATGGGCCTGTGAAGTTAGGAGGTATACCCCCTGAAGATGGAAAACGCTTTGGTTGCTTGTGTGGAAAGCGGTTTGCAGTGAAGCCAAAGCGTGACAGGCATATCATGCTGACCTTCAGCCTTCGGCCCTTTGGCTGTGGCATCTGCAATAAGCGCTTCAAGCTGAAGCACCATCTGACAGAGCATATGAAGACTCATGCTGGAGCCCTGCATGCCTGCCCCCATTGTGGCCGTCGGTTTCGGGTACATGCCTGTTTCCTTCGCCATCGGGACCTATGCAAAGGCCAAGGGCTGGGCCACTGCTCACTGGACTTACAACTGACTGCCAAGGGCATACACGAACTTCTAGGATAAGAGAGCCACTGCTGCTGATGGATACTTTTTCCTCACCACCATCACACCCTGCTCCTGGATCTTGTAATCATGGCAAGAAAATAGATATATTCCAGACATCTGGTTCTTAAGTGTGGATGTCGACCTGGCAGATTCTGGGATCTCAGATTTCTTATAGCCAAGTTTTTTGCTAACCACCCCATAGCAAGGTGGTTTACAGGGCATATGTAAATTGATCACTTGCCCCATAACAGACCTTTTGTGCAGGAAACCAGATTTCGGATTAGAAGTTTGGTGAGAGAAAAGTTAGAACAAAAGATGTAATGATAAACGTTTCACTTGGTCTCCATGAGGTGTTGAAGGAGCTGGTCTCTATTCTAGGGATGTCTGATTCTAGGGTTCAGTAATTCAGAAACCAATTAAGGTCTATGCTCTCCTCTCCCTTGTCATTGCTGAAATGATTTAGGCAGAGTTCTTTTTATGTACTTTCTTTTGTTCGATCTTTCCAGAAGCCTCTCAGATCATAACTCATTCTGCACCTTCCCAACACTTCTTTTTTTAACATTGTAGTTGAGCACTTTAACAAATTGAGCGTTCCATGTGTCATTAGAACTCTCTTTTTAATAGAGGATGTCCCCTTAATAGCCTGTGCCTCTTGTTTACCTTTGTCCACCACTGATCACCCATATATTGATCACGGTGATTAGAATATGACCAATGAACTCAGGAGATGGCCACTGACCTAAAATGCTCTCAGGGTAGCACCACTGTTTTGAACAAGTGGCTGTTCTCAGAGACTGAGACAGCACATACAGGAAAGGCTGAAGAGTAACTGCACAGTAGGACCATACCCCTTATCCATCCCACTTACACATGATAGGCCCTTGGTTGAGAGAGATAGAAGAGTAGATATTGGAATGGGGAGACTGTCACAGTTTACTTAATTTCTTCAAATAAACTTTGCCCTGAAATTTAAACTGACCGTGGATTGGATTGGGTAATTTACGTGGGAGAGACAGCATGAAAGCAGAGTTGCAAAGACTTGGATATGTTACTTATGCAGCAGGGTTATACTGATGAGGGGAAAATGGGATGGTTTCACACTGGTGCAGAGAACACTGTCCTGGACTTCAGTGGGCCAGATTCTAGGCCCTGACTTGCCACTGAATGATCTCAGGTAAGTTACCTTATCTTTCAGAGTGTGAACTGTTTGTTTTTGTCTTTTTGTGGGGTAGTATGCATCTCCTAATTGGTTCTCTGTCTTCTTATTTTTAAAGGGATTGGTTCATTTGATCTTTACCTATAATCTTCCCTGACTTCATGTATTACATATAATGTTTGGTTGTTGTTTGGTTTGTTCTACAAACATTTAGTGCAATGCAGTATGCTAGACCCTTTTACTCTGACCTCAAAAAGTTCACAGCTACTTTCAAAGCTAGACAGATAATAACACTGTGGTATATGATAAGTCCATATTAGTGGGCAGTACAAGCTAATGTAATGGCATAAGTGAAGTCAAGAGAAGGTCTCATACATCAGCAGAGGTTTCACAAAGATCTCTTTATACCAGAGATAATAATATGGGTGGCTGAACATGAGTGAACTTGAAGTTATAATTAGGGCCAAGATTGATAGCTTTCCCCAAAGCATTTTCCTTAAAAGTTGGTATGGGACCCAGAACAGGCTGAAAAATGTGACTTTATGGCTGAGGAGGTGAATTCTAGCTTCTGTAAAGAGCCATGCCATGGTACCATCCTCATGGTTAAGGACTGTGAACATATTGGGAAGGGAGTCAGGGAGAGGGCTACCAAATGCCACCTACCTGTCATTCTTTGACACATTCAGTAGATGGCTACAGACATACCTCAGATATTACAGGTTCAGTTCCAGACCACTGCAACAGAGCAAACCAAATGCATTTTTTAGGTTCTCAGTGCATATAAAAGTTATGATTTTACAGTAATCTACTAAGTGTGCAGTAGTAGTATTATTTCTTTTAAAAAAATAAAGTATATACCACAGGCACTTGGGTGGCTGATGTGGTTAAGCGTCTGACTCTTGATCTCAGCTCAGGTCTTAATCTCAGAGTATGAATTAAGGCCCTACATTGGCCTCCACATGGCATGAAGCCTACTTTAAAAAAAGAATGTGCATACCTTAAAAAATACTTCGTTGCTAAAAATACTAACAATCATCTGAGCTTTTAACAAGTAGTAATCACAGACCACATAACTAATATATTAATAATGAAAAAGTTTTAAGTATTGCAAGATTTACCAAAATGTGACACAGAGACACAAAGCAAGCAAATAGTGTTGGAAAAATGGTGCCAGTAGACTTGCTGCAAACCTTTAGTTTGTAAAAATAAAAACAAAAAACCCCTGCAATATCTGCAAAGTGCAATAAAGTGAAGCACAATGAAATGGTGTGCCTGTCTATCCATTGAGCAAGATCCTTTGGTCGCGAGCAAGATCCTTTGGTCGCAAGCAAGAAAAGCTGGCCTTGACCTTACCAAAACAGGATCTATGGAAGTATGTGGAATGGCTCCTGAATTGGAAGGAAGGGCTGAAGGACCAGCCTTTGGAAGGATAAGCTTGAGGGGTCCAGGGAGAAGGATTGCTCCTGGGGAATCTTTTCAGGTCATATGTTTTGGGATGACAGTCATTCTTATTTCTTTTGTTACTTATCTCAAGTCATTTGAGTGGCTCAGTCAGTTGAGTGTCTGACTCTTGGTTTTGACTCAGGTCATGACTTCAGGTTCGTGAGATCGAGCCCCACATCAGGCTTAGTACAGAGTCTGCTTGGAGTTCTCTTCCTCTGCTTCAGGTCTCGCCTCTGGCCAGAGGACCCTGAATCATATGTTCCATCCATCAAGGCAACAAAGTGGGCATGTAATCCTCAAGGGGAAATTGAAGTCCTGGGATAGAAGAGGGGAATGGGGAATAATGCTAGCCAGCCAGCCCACAGGAACAGAGGTGCACTCCAATCTC